ATAAATCTCTGATTATAGTGGTAGGGACGTGCTATACATGTGAACACGGACATAGACCATTTCCTCTTATAATCGTTATTGACTAGATTCATCTTTATTTTAAACTAAAGAAAACCATTTTTAGGCTTTCATTTTTACAATATAATTTTGCTTCATAAATGCTATAGAGAATTGCCCTTGAAAATTGCAATCATTTCTGGCATGTTTTCAAATGAAAATAATCACCAATAAATAAATACCACCTTTATTTATTATGTCAGTCAAGTAAAAAAAGAAATAAAATGACAGCAAAATGCATGAAATTATTTTTTTGTTTGATGTCTATTCATTTCTAATTGCATTTCGCTGAGTCAAAAACATGTGCATTAACATTCAACAAGAAAGCAATGTTCTTTGCATGTGGGAATATCATTTAGTTATTTAAGCGTACTACTGCTATTAAAATGATACACATGCAATGACGTCCTATGGGACTATTAGAAAATCATTATTATTAATGTCGCCCAAATATTTTAAAAATCAAAAAAAAAAAAAAAAAAAAAAAAACACTATCTACGATAGATCTCATATCTGTCCTTGCTGATATATGAACGCGTGATATTTTGATAGACTGTCTTTCCCTTGAAATGCCTTGATAAGATAAAAAAAGAGAAAAATGCACATATTCACAACCCTACAAACAACTTTATTATCCCGTCACGTATGCCTTGTTTACTGACCTTGAATTTCAATTCCTCTATTTGGCATATAAGATACATAATCATCATCTGGCAGTCCGGTTAGCTCAGTATGTAAAACGTTGCACGGTGAATCGGGGAACCCGGTTTCGATTCCTTGACGTTTCAGCTCACTTTTGTTCTGATTGATCATGGAATCCTTTCTACAGTCACTCGCACTGTACCGTACAGAGTTAGTCAGTTCCTTGCGATAGTGAAGGCAACTAGTACTAGTAAACTGTTTGACAGCATGCCCTGGAAGGATGCGGTGGCTGAACTGTGCTCTGGTGAATTCAATGTGGCTTACTGTCGTGTTGGAGTGAAAACTACCAATACCACCATTGGGAGTCATAACAAACGTTTGGTGAAAATAAGAAAAGAGCAAAATTTGAAACCTTTGTATGCTGGGAAAACTGTTGTCTGCTTAAATTCGTCATTTTTGTATTTCATCATTTTTTTTCTGGAAATAAAAGAAATAAAAGGTGACTTACCAAACGAGACACTGCATGAGGTTCATGAAATATGTTGACTCTAAATCTGTGAAACAACATTAATGTTAAATACAGGACTGAAAGAGTCTATCCCACTTTAAAGTGTCGATAATGTCATATCTACTGCATTTATCAATATTAAGTTTCCTGGTTCAAGACTGGTATCCGGAAACAAATCGGACTCTATATTCAGAACATGTTCAACCATGTCCATTTATGTTCAAGCGGACACATTTGGAAAAAAAACACCCTGCTAGGAACGAGTTCTCAGTAGGCCAATTTGAGGCAATAATCTTATCTTTGCAAGGCATTTCCGTTATCAATATAGAATCAATGCAAGTGTTTCCGCGTAAAACTCTGTTTGGAAACTGTTTATAATCGGAGTATTTATGGAGAAAAACTCATTTCTGCGGGACATTTCCGTTATCTCTTTTAAGCATCGATTTTTTTTTCCGGGAAAAGCAGATCCTATCGGAACAACAATGTTTGTAAAGAAAAACATCATTAATACCGTTTCTCTGTAAAACACTGATCAATTACAGATATAAGAATGCGGCCAGATATCATTGGAGTATGCCCAATTAAACAATCAATCTTTCCTGTCTAATTAAATTGAATTTCCGGTTGATTATTATTATTTTTTGTTATTGCTTTTTTTATGAAACGATACTTTTAACATGGAGAATTAAAGAATATTCTATTTTATTAGGTTTTATATCTTCCTTTTATGAAACTACATGCCCAAAGCGTAGATATTTGGCATGTAACATTGCCTAGTATATGAATAGGGCCTCTGGGGCCATAAAAGGGCCTCGTCCGAGATCACATTTACAACATAGACGTGTATCGGAAACATAACTTGAAAGTACGGGGAAAATGCATATGAATCTTCTTTGTTAAACTGCATGTCCTAGAGAAAGCTAAGATTTTTGCATGTAGCAATCTAAGTTATAAAAATGTAAGTCATCCCTCTGCAGTCAAAAGGCTCTAACCATGTGTAACATTTATTATATTGACTAATTTTTTCCCACAGAAACTACCATGTTTAGCACTCTAAATATTTGGAATGCATGTCCCTTTTTGACCCTCTACGAAAGGTAATATATAAATAATGTATCTTGTGTAAAAAATCACCCCTCCGGGTCACATAAATCATACCCCCTTGGTCAAAATTGGCCCTCCCCGTCCATTGCTTAATTTATATAGACTTTAATATAAATAGAAATGCAGTTCTTAATTTATATGTTACAGAGTTGAGATATTTACCATAAAGTATGGCCTAGTGGATTGATATAAATCAAGAATGTCCCTGTCCGCCACGGGGCCAATATTATATGTAAAGGAACCAGACTTAAAAATCTCCTGAGTAACTATAATGCCCAGTTGGCCGGTAACAGTTCTTTACGAACGTCATAAAGATTAAATCATATCTACGGGTTCCAAAATTTGCCCTGCCTTCAGGGTGTCTTAATTTACATACCTAATTTATTAGCAAACACATTTAAAATCTTCTTGTTGTAAATACAGTCACTGTACAAGGCTTTGAGTTTAGCACAAGCATTGTTTGGTGTATCTTTATCAAAGTTTATGAATTTTGGCTCAATTAACAACATGACCTCATACCAATGTAACTTAATGGCCTACTTCTGAATAAAGATAGAAATTGGTTTCAGGTGAGCGACAGTTGGTCATTATGAATCTCTTGTCATGTATTTTATATTGATATATGTACTCTATCTTTATAAAGATGAAAACAGTAAGATGGAAATTCCTATTTCATATATGATTTAAAGATGCTGCGTCATTGTTAATTAAACGAGATAAATGTTGTTTTTTTGCTTGTGCCTCACGAAAGGAAAAAGTGATCAAACGCATCGTAATCCTCGCTCTTTAATGATTTATAGTAACCATAGTTGCAGGTAATAATATTCTTGTCGCATTGTAATTCCATTGCATTGTTCAATTAAGCAGCAGCTTGAATGTGACTTTGTTTGAAGAATGTTTGACTTAATTACATTCAGTAAACTTCGATGACAATTAACCACTGCCTAGGTGTTCCATAATAATCAAGGGGAATAATAGCATACTCAGGTCTCACTGATCAGGGGAAGTAACCGCTGCGAACTTAAAAGCAATCACCAGTTGTTCAACTAACATAGAAGTACAATAAGTGCAACAATTTTAAGAAAGGGTCCTCGATAATGTTGTTGTAAATTTTGGCCTAACCCTTTCGTATGTACGTTATAATTAAGTATAATAATATTAATACTTCATGTACACTTATAAATACAATAAACTATATTATTACACTAAGTAGATGAAAGGAAACAAAACACGGTGTTTCGGTTTCAAATTTCAATTTGAACAGTATGTCTGGTTTTAGTAGAAAGGATTGAACTCAAACCACCTGTTTTTAGCCAGACAGTGTAATCACTAGAACATTGCATGCACATGTTTTGGTCAGCATAATTTTCTTCTGGTGCTGCACATTACCATGAAAGACATGTATAGGTTTTCACTTACATATCAGCTACCGACATCTGATTTCATTGGTGACATATCAAATAAAGATAAATCAGCTACAGACTTTTGATTTGATTGGCGACATAACAAGTTATGCACTTGCATGTTACATTTTGCATGTCAGTTTATTCTGGTTCCACATTTTACTTGTCACTTTTTACTGGTCACATTTTACATTTTGCTGGTCAAATTTTGCTGATCATATATATCACAATTTCGTAACTTGCTTGCATGATGCAAATCATAAAAAATAAATGTAATCACAAATATCTTCTAGATTATATTTCGTGCATCTTTCAATTTAAAGCAGCACACGTATCGTGTTTCGAACGTTGTTGAAGTTCCCAATCGATTTCCCATCATGTTCACTGTAATCACCAAACGGAAAATACGAGTAGAAGAATCAACAATTTAAAACCTCGCGAATATGTTTTATGCAATTTCTGATTCATTTTTTTTTCAATATTGTAAATTCTAGCACGCTTAAATTCGTCACAGAAATACTTTGACTTTACAGACTATGAATATACAGAGCCGTAACAACATATACCTGAACCGTTTAAATGAAATGCTTTTTGTATTCTTTGCAAATATCAAACAATTGAGGATGACTATCATTTAAAATAATGTGTAATCTTATCGGAACGATTTTTGTTGTCATTAATAGTTTTTTGTTGTCCTTTGTGATTAAGTAGAAAAATAGTAATCAAACCCTTGGAACCTTAGAGGTAATAACTTGTATGTCACCGGGATAAATATAGATTTTATATTATTGATTAACTTACTTTGTTGTTTTGATATTGAAAACACATGACCAGAAAATCAACGGTTCCGAATTCAAAGCTAGGGAAATGGATATATAAATTGCAATGGTTATATCGCAAGTTATCGTGTATACATGAACATGTTTATATAACCTGCTAAAACGAATTATAATAGATTGGAATCTTCTTCTTTTTGGACATAATTACAAAATAATAATAATAATAAAATAAAAAAATCCAAAAAAGGGATGTCGTGTTTATAGAAAATATAATTGTTATAATTTAGCAATGAAAATCGATGTATTTTATGCAAAACTAAAAAAAAAGGTTCTATATTTTATCAGTTTTGAACATAACATTTGGATTCAGTTGGCCAAAAAGTCTAATGAACGTGACTATCTTCGTCAAGTTTTAATGTTAATGTTAATAGAAGGTGGATTGTGATGGACAAAGCTCGAACATAAATGTATTCTTTATAATAATTAAATACAAAAAAACTACATTCAAACATTGAAGTATATATTATTATTTCGAATTTTATCACCAGTGAAGAAATGCTGACACAGTTTGTAAATAAATATTTGTAATTTATGAGATAAAATATACAATGTAAAAAATGATAGTAAACAGTTTAACAAAAACAATTCAACCACTCAATCACAGTTACATGGCGATATTGATGGGAGGGCTTTTGTCCGCCAAGTCATTTTCACGGGAGGATCCGCCCAGTCATTTTCACGGGAAGGCTTTTGTCCGCCTTTTCATTTTTGGTTTGGAGGGCTTTTATCCGGGAGGGCTTTTGTCCTACACTCAATTTTTCTTATGGTCTATAAAGTGCTGATCTTAAAGAGAATTAAAACAATTGCATTAAATTTAAAATAAACCTAAAAACACAGCCTCTCTCAAGTAAGACTGGTCATATTTATGTTCGGTGGATGCGTCAAACAATCATCACACGTGGAATTCATTCTCTCTTTGAGTATTGACCACATCCGGTATATATGCGTTAATTTGTGCACGTGAAAGAACCTTAGCTCGTGCTTTTTATCCTCTTTTAACTTATCTAAAGCAAGACGCGCATTGAGCATGTAATTTTCGTTCAATCTCTTATGTTCTATTCCAATCTTTTTCACAAGTAATCCTGTTAAATAGAAGTCGTCCACCCAGAAAAAAGTAGTATCCAGTGAAGCCTGGTACATTCGCTTAACTGCATCGATGCTCATAATAAACACGGAACCAGAACAATATGGCGGAAAAAATTCGTCTGGAAATTCTTCTTCTGATATGTACCACTTACTTTTCTTGTCTCGTATTACTTTCATTCTTACCCATTGATTACACATGATCAAGTTTTTTGTTCCGTAGCTCTTAATCTCAGTTGAGTTCATTTGTTCCATTAAAGCATGCATATCAATTAAGATGTCGTCATCAGATTTGATGACGAAAGTAACATTATCACAATATCTTGAAACCCACTTTATGCCGGCTATTGCTTTAAAAGTTAAGTTTCTGTAAGAATCTACAAAATTTTCAACCACAATATCATTGTAAGTGTTACTTTCATATTTAACCCTTCCCATGGTGCTTTTATCGTCAACTAACCCCATTATAAAAACTATCCTCATGTTGTATTTCTCCAAAACAGCACGTGAGCCCCACGTCTGCCGCACCATTTGTCGTTTCTTGTGATTCTTTGGAGCGGAATGAACATATATCATGTATTTTAAACTTTTCGATTTACACGTATTCTTTGGGTTAATTAAAAATTTGAAATTATGAGGATTCACTGGCGGACTTCTTGTTGTAGATGGATCAGTATAACGGTTTGTTATTTTTGTAATGTTGGCAGAATTGTTGGTATTTAACACTTTTGTGTTTTTCCCTAAAGATTTAAGATCGACGTTGGAATCATGTTCGCGCAGGGCTTCATTTGCGTATTGTAGCAACACCGGAAGTCTTTTGTTATGGACTCTGTCGTCTGCTGTTTGTAGAAGTATCATAATTAGGCTAACGAAAACGCATACCGCTAGCAGACGATATAGTAGCGTAACTCTTGGAAACATTATATGCCGGACTACTTTCTCGAAGCATCACTCATTACATCATAGTTGACTTTTTGGAATTTGTATATGCAAGATGTCTGAAAAATAAAACAATCCTTTTGTCTACATTGAAATTATATCTTTAATTATACCTAAGTAAACATTAAACCTTCTGAATTTTTCAAATGAACTTGTCCAGCCTAATCATTAACAATTAAGGGGACATCAAAATGAAAATAAAAGTTAGTCGGCCGACAGTTAACAGCCTGGTCAGCCCAGCATTGCTCTATACTGGCGACAAAGGCTTACCATTTTCTCTTCCGGTTCAGTCAAGTTAAGATGAGAAAAGATATCAACATTTAGATGCTTTATTTAAACTTTGGGAACTACAAAAATACGTACGTGATCAAATACACTGACATTGATATACAAGATTTAGTCAGTAGACAACTTTATAATATATTTCATTATTACATGTTCGCACCAGGACTTATTTAAGTGTGTGTAATATTTGGTTATCATCTAAAGATATTTCAGCCTATGAACAAACTAAAATATAAAACTTGAATTACTTCCACTTGCTCTTTATCTGAATATTTGAAGGATGTATTATTTTCTTGTAAATTTAATCTCTTTCCTAAAAATGTGTTTGCTATTTATTTTCCGGAAAATATACGGAATGGATTGCTTTAAATATTTTATGTGTAGCCTGTATTATTAAGTAATTTTGGTATGATAATCAATTACAATAACATCTGCCTACATTAATTAATTGCCATCAATCAATAGATGTTTTATAGGAGAAACAACAAACGAAACAAAAGCGCATAAAATTGCAATTAAAGCAGCTATTACTTCTAATTAGTTTAATTTAGAATGTAATTAAAGCAGATGTATCTACTAATTGGTATGAATTAGAGTATCGTTGAATTTGTTAAAACCTGTCGGGACTGTACTTTGTATTGTAAATAAGAAATATTTTCGGTATCACTGTTATCAAGAAGGATGGTTTTATCAGACTGTGCAAACACGTTTTTATCTACAAAATGAAGATTTACAAAACAGTCAGTATTTGGACATCGTTTGATATGCCAGAGTCACTAACTTAAAAACTTAACCTTTGTTGCACTGATTATCGTCGCCGATATAAAAACTGTTGAACGGTTTGAGACTGGTTCTTTGCCCATATGTTGTTAAAATAAAGATACCGCCTATAATCAGCGCCGCTGACAATGTACAGCGGCAATTATTTGCCATGACCAAAGAGTACAGTCTTTAATCCTGATCTGAATTTATTCATAAAAATGTAGTGTTAACTGGTGAAATCTGCCGATGCTAGCAAGCTTGCACGGTAGCTTGTACTTCAGAATCGTCGATGAACACGCTCTATCAAACCGAGCCTGCAGCACTTTTAATTTTGCCGTTTTGGACGTTCTGTAGGGATTCTGAATTTCTCTCTTTACAAACTACCGCGGCCTCTATACTGGTTCAGAATAATAGGGTCGTTAGGAAATGTATTGATCCGATAGGAAATAGACTCCTGTCTCATGTGGTGATATGAAATAATCAATTGACTATAATCAATGCCTAATCTTTCAACCGTCAGATCTGGTCAAATGTTTAAAAAAAAATAATTTTTTTTTCCCCAAACTAAATTTAAAAAAATCAAAAACGAACGTTAACTATACGTTTAAGTTACGTAAAAATTGAAGCTGAATAAAACATCAACTATCCATTTGATGGAAACAAAAACAAAACAGAATGCGTTAAATTGTAACGAACTTTCATGTCACGTTTACAAATGTTTGCATTTCATGTTCCTAATTACAAACTCACTAAACAAGCGAACCAGAATCGCTGTAACTTAATCAAGTATTTATTCGATTAAGACCGCTATCTATAACTAATTATTATTCAAGACATAAATGAAACATATATAATCTCCATAAACTAATAAATTATTCACGTCGTTTAGCAAATTAAATCTATTTGAATTGACACGTAGTGTCTGATTGTGCATCAAAATAATGAAAAAACAAACAAACAAACATTTGCTGTTGCATTCAAATACAGCATGACAGTAAAACAAACGAAAAATTAAGCCAATTAGTTACAGTTTTAATTCATTACAAAATAAAAATAATTCTTCTTCATCAAATAACAACAATGATTCGATTTTAAGGATGAACTTTTGATCGAAATATAGAAAAAATCTTGTTTTTGTCATATTTTTGTCATGTCCATTTCTACGCAAACGTGTTGTTATTAACATAATAGAAAATTGAAATCACTTAAAAAAAGAAAAAAAAAGAGACCAAATCACCGGTTTAAAAAAAGAAGAAAAAGAAAAAAGTATTAATTAAAAAGGCATTTTATTTAGAGAACATAAATCTGTCAAAAAACATATAAATGCCTTACCTTAAATAATCCAAGTAGTAAATACAATACGAGAAACAATGTTAAAAAGATATTTTAAAGTAACCCATCTTGTTAGAGGGCGGATGTTTCATGTAGCAACATATTTTAACTAGTTATCAATTCATATCACGTGACCTACCTTCATATCGCAGTTAAAGCGGCGCGTGCTACAGAACGCTGACAATTTGATTATTAAACAATCTATTTTTAGCAAGTCATCTTTTACATGTACATTTTGAATCTGGAAACGAATGTGAAAAAGATTTTTTTTCTCTTATTGTCTGTGTCCAAAAACCTAACTTATTTTCGGCTACATGTAAACTTATTGATAAATTACTCAGTTATCTGCGATACGTTTCAGACATTGATTTCTTAAACTGGGAGTGAACATTAGCTTTTATCCCTACTTTTTTGTACTCTTTATTTATGGCTTTTGAATGATATTATCTGAAAAGTTAACTGTTATAAACATGTACTCCTTATTTATTTATGTACTTCCTTATTGTTTTGAAAAGGTGGTGAAACTTATCAATTTATAAATACTTAAAAGTAAATAAAGTCTTGTTTATATATGTGTATGCGATATACAGGCGTCTTTGATTTTAAAATATAACGAGGTAAAAAAAAAATCGGTTTGAAATAGCAAAACAGAATGACAGCGTACAGTTCGTAAAAGAAGATAAAGACAAGAACGTGTATATCTAATGAGAAGGTCATTTACATACATTGAACGCTATGAAGCTTTGAACATTTTCTATATAGATATTGAGCGTACACGTTAAGTGCCTTAAGGTTTTCGGAAAAATTCATTTAAAAAAAGAAACAATGTCATAAAAAATAATCACTTGGTGTTTAATTTTAATACATCATCAGATGTTAATACCGTCCTCCGCCGGGGACTTTGACTTTTTGAATATTAAACTTCTGGAAAGGGCCTTGCCATGTTAGAAGATTTTTGGCGCCAAAACGAACCCACAGTGCGGGGGACAGATATGAGGTAAAAAAATCGGCTCCATGCTTCCCTGCTACCGTGTCACCTGACATGAGATGGTGTGTTACAAATCTCTGATACATAAGTAAGGCACAACTAGAACATAAACCATTTTCTTAAATATGAAATATTTTGACGCTCCTCCTTTTTTCACATTAGCTAAATAAGTATATTTTGAAATGCATTAAGTAAAGATACTTTTTTAAATCCTACAAAAATGAAGGGGTAAATAATGTTGATCTGAAGAACGTGTTTTTTAAAGATTTTTATCTTCTTCTTTTGGAAGCGGCAAAAATATGTTTGATAATAATTTAATAATGGATTTAAAGTATGTTAGATGCCTTATCACGGGAAACAAGTAGCGCTGAATGTGAATCAATATTCAAAAAAAGCAACAAAACATAACCAAATACTAGTTTGACTTCCTTAAAATGCTAAATCACTATAGCTGTACTTGCGACAAAAGAGCAAAATATAGATCTAGTTCAGCTTCGTATCAATGCGATTAAAATCATCTTATTAAAGGCACATTATGCAAGAAATACACAAATACTTCATATCCTTTTAATTCTTTAGAAATGCCAAGCATGCGTTTAATAATGTTTAAATGCATGATAAATGTTTTACGGCTGAAAAAGGGAACGCTGGACATGCACTTATATGTGGTACAGGCAGCAAAATGTAAACAAAGTAGGATTTTGACTTCCATACAAAATAATTATTCACTACAATTATACCAATTGTCAATAGAGTTAAATATGCATATAAGATAGTTTATGTAGATAGCAAATGCGTATATTTTCGAGACTGTATCAATATATCAAAAATAAGCATTTTTTGTGAATAGAAATTTATAGTATTTCTGAGGCATAATGGGCCTTTAAAGCTACGCATTAGGCAAGAAAAATCTTAAGTAGTTCTGAACTTAAGTCAGATTGACTACTTCGTCAATGAATGCTTTTCTGGGAAATGTAACGCTCGAATCAATTTCGGTTTAATCTGCGAAAGGGTTTCACGATTAACATATTTTCCTTAAGTTTTTATATTTTCAAATTTTATCTACATGTATAAATTCATCTGGAGACGGGCAGCTTTAGGGAAACATTTGTCATTGTAATTAAAGTGGACAGATGTGTAAGCTACTCTATACCTTTGCAATAATATCCCGTTGACTCTTTATTCTCGTTGATATTTTCAAACTTCCTTATTGATAAATCCTCTCATACCACTGTTTGCTTAAAGATATGCCCGTGTCCATTTCTGAAAGAAAAATTAAAAATATTTTAGGTAATATTTCACAGCACGTTAGCTAAAATGGTTATTGATTTGATTATTTAGCTTCTAATTTTCATTTCTTACCGCTGATTATTACAATATTTCCTATTTTCAGATTCAGATTTATGATCAAGGTATTTACTTTTTTAACGTATCTATGAGATGACAGAGATCTTGGTAATATGTTGCTATGAGAGATATGTATATATTGATCGATACGTTGGTATGACCGATATATCTTGGTATGAGTTGGTTAAAGCTATATATTGGTTTGGGCGATATATTGTTATGAAAGATATGTTGATATTTCGCAATATGTTGATGTTGATAGGCGATATGTTGTTTTTGGGCGATTTGTAGGGCAAAATGTTGGTTTGGGCAATATGTCGGTTTAGGCGTTATGTTGGTTTAGGCGATATGTTTGTTTTTTGATTGATTTATTTGTGTTTATATATATGTCATATTACAATATAATAAAAAGCGATATATTGGTTTTGGCGATATATTGCTATGCGCGATATGTTGATATTTCGCGATATCGTGATATATTGATGTAAATAGGCGATATGTTGATTTGGGCAATATGTTGATTTGGGATATATGTTGATTTGGACAATATATTGGTTTTGGCGATGTGTTAGTTACGACAATATGTTGGTTTGGGCAATATAGTGATTTGGGCTATATGTTGATTTGGACAATATGTTGGTTAGGGCGTTTTGTTAAGCAATATGCTGGTTTGGGCAATATGTTGGGTGATATGTTGGTTTGGGTGATATGCTTGTGTAGGCGATATGTTGATATTGTTGTGGAATGGAAGAAACTATGGTAAGGACGATACTAGGCAAGGACGATATTATGGTATGTATTTGGACGATACTATGGTCTGGACAATACCATGGTATGGACGATATAATGGTATGCATTTGTACGATACTATGAACAAAACGATACCATGGTAAGGACGATATTATGGTATGCATTTGGACGATACTATGGTCAGGACGATACCGTGTTAAGGACGATAATATGGTATGCATTTGGACGATACTATGGTAGGACGATACTGTGGCAATGACGATATTATGGTATGCATTTGGACGATTCTATGGTCAGGACGATACCATGGCAAAAACAATATTATGGTATGCATTTGGACGATACTATGGTCAGGGCGATACTGTGGCAAGGACGATATTATGGTATGCATTTGGACGATACTATGGACAGGACGGTACTGTGGCAAGGACGATATAATGGTATGCATTTGGACGATACTATGGTCAGGACGATACCATGGTAAGGATGATATTATGGTATGCATTTGAACGATACTATGGTAAGAACGAGACTATGGCAAGGACGATATTATGGTATGGACAATTTTGTCGATGAGACGGGTAATTTGCATACATTAGCAATATGCTAACATCAGTTATATGATAACATTGGCAATGTGCTTACATTGGTAAAATGCTTACATGGGAAATATGCTGCTATGGAAGGTATGGTGATAAATGCTATATTTCTATTTTTATTTTTTTCCAAGTTAGATAATGATGGTATCTAAATATTTTGAATATTTGGGGTTTTTGGTACTATCAGTAAAGAAGTTAATTAGTATGCTTGTTTACATAGACTTTTGTTTAATTACAGTGAAGCGCAAGTTTAATCTCTAAAAGAAATACGAATAAATAATATTTTTCGCAGAAAACTTGAGAAAATATGAAATAAAACATTTCTATTTTATGAAACAGCCTCTAGATAATGAGTAAAATTAATATTACATTTATAACATCCATTGCATGTACGAAACTATTCGGAACATCTCACTTATTACCCATAATCCGTACGAAAAGGTCCGAAAAGTTGCGATTGGCAAAATACGCATATTATATTCTTCCCTTGCTTATATTTTATCTGTAGCGTCAATGTGCCGAACACCAAAAAAAAAAAAAAAAAACAAAACACCACAAAAAAACCAACAGCCTCCCCTACCCTCCCGTTAAAAGACCCAAAAACGCTGATATTTTTTAATATAAGATACCCATGAAAATGCCCCATCCTTAAACATTCATCTAAGTAACTATGTAATAAATAAGGAAAAGATCAAGGTTATGAACTGTTGATGAGAGGGAAATGGCATACATATACATGTAGTATAGTAATAGATAGAACAGGACAATATATGAATAGATAAGTTTTTATTTTATCTTACCATACAAAAATATCCAGCAATAATTTAATTTCCATATTCACTGATGACCTGTATAAATCCACATATTGTATGAGTGTAAAGTTTATGACGTTCCATAAGTACACTGAATCACAATGATAATCTGTATCAACAATTTAAAGGTTACCCTGTTTATTCTTTAATTTGATTAAAGACACAGCGCGACATCATACGTCTATTCATTTTACTGTTTTAAATTCACTTAACTGCCATTTTATACCAAATAGAAAATAGGAAAAACACTTTAAACAAACATCAGCTTTTGGTTCTAACCCATTTTCATGCATTCTTATTGATCTTATGGTTAGTTTAATAATATGTAGTTGTTTATCTATTCATAGTATAAATTTTCACAATAATACACAACCATACATATGTAATTTAAGGCAAATATACAAAAGGGTTATGCCAAAAAAGGCTCTGCCCTTATGTTGTAATGTTTCATTGAAAACAGCCCCCCCCCCCCCAAAAAAAAAGAAACAAAAAAGAAACACACATACAGAAAAAACAACAACAACAACAAACAAACAAAACAAACAAACAAAACGTTACTACATGTATACAACAAATTAAATTGATTTAGCAATACTGAATGCTACAACAATATGCTATATCATCAAAACTGTAAATTGATACCTCTGCAGAGCAATAGCCTTTGAGTGACAAAGATTTTGGTTGTTTGCTAAAAGGTGTCGCTATAGAGAGGTTAAATTTATTATGAAGTTTTTATTTCTGCTCTTGTAAAGTGTTTATTCCCTCTTCATTACATAAAGTCCACTGTATATGCCAACAAGTCCTAAGCAAAGGGGTTATAAAATATAAATATAATTGAAACATGAAATAATAAATAAAACGTTTAACATGGCGAGTCTTTAAGATGATTGTCAACCCATTCACCCCCTTTTCCCTTCCTACTTTAATTGTGAATTTTTAGTTTTACACTTATTTTCTTCCTTATCCATACAATTCAAATTCGATAAATATGTACTTAAGCTTTTTGAATTGACAACATCCTTGGGCATTGTAAAACAATTATGAACAATGCGTTTAAAAGAGTCTCGTTCTGTGAAAGATAATGTATTTATTTTCCCAAACTATAAAACTATAATAGTATGTATATACATGTAGTTTGTTGATTATGTACCGGATTCCATTTATCGTTCGGAACACTTCGCCGATTGCCAATAGTCTCGAAAACAACACGTATTGCAATAGCAATAGAAAAATATAAATGTTGATTTCATTTTTTATACATAAGAGAAGGAGTTATTAGAAATGTTCTCCGTCCGTGCATCCGTACCTCCGTCACATTTATCTGCGCTTTTCTTCAACTGACGTACAGCGGAATAATTCTTTCTTGCTTACTTTAAGAGTAATTCCCATTTACCAGAATAACTTAAAAACTTTGTCCGAATCATAACTTCCTTCATAAACATACTTGAGGGATTTTCTCAAAACATAATATACTGTCATGGCGCAGCGCGCAAGAAGAATAACTCTACCTTGCCTTTTTTCATAGTTACTCCTCTTTATAAGATTAGTAGCTGCATTACACCAACAGTACTTTTGAGATTTTTTTTAAGTTTATACACTGACGAAGCGCATTGGATGGAAGTCACACCGCATCGTGCAAGAGCAATCACTGTACCTTGCCTATTTTTGAGGGATTTTCTTCGAACTGCATATACGTATAATGTCATTTAGATTTTGAAGTATTTCTTAAGAACCACAGTGAGAGTTCTTCTTAAAGGGTAAGAATTTTATTTGCTTCCATTTTCATTTAAAATAATTTAACGATATGTGTAGTGTTTGTACCGATTTACAATGTGATGTGTACGAAAGTACAAACTTTATGTTACTTCTTGCCCGCGAGGAATAAACCATGCGTAACATGGCTCTTGTTTTAATTTACTTAATTACACCTTATAATAAAATAAACGGAATGAAATAAACGAACATTTGCTTTCTTCTTTATTATATGCAGCAAAGCTGAAATATCATATCCAGTGTGTGTATTCTTAGTTTGACGAAACGGGTCAAAAAGTTGCGATTGGCCATTTATTATTTAACTCATTCAAAATGCGTCATTTAGACTGACAAAACGCAGAAAGTTCGTTTTGACGGAAAGTGCCAGATTGTCAATACAAGCTACATATTAAACATCCAGCATTAATCCGTATGATTTCGGAAGATTTTGTAACTTTCCGTGTCTTAAAGCGTCTACGTGATTAGGAGCATGTAGACGACTGTAATAAGAGCCACCGCATGGCGGGGTTGACGCTCGACGTTTTCTTACTTCTAACTTCTAAGGTCAAACACATGGAAGAGAGTAATATTACAGTAAAGAATAATCCTAGAAAAATAACTCTTTTGAACAAATTATTATTCAATTTTAATATTTGACCTTGACGATAAAGGTCAAATTTGAATTTATCATCATTTCCAGTTTTGTAGTAAGTGTTCTTTTGTCCAAGAATGAGCCAAATCCATAAATAAATAACAAAGTTATGACAACTAAGGTAAATTTCAATAATTTGTCCATGAAGATCAATTAAGGTTCAAGGTCATATCAGAATAATTCTACGTGTCGTTTCGTCATCTGTGTTGTTTTGTCCAATAAATCAAATCTACAAATAAATAATAAAGTACTGACAATTTAAGCAAATTTCATTACTTTGACATGGACTGTCAAGGTCAAATTAAGGTCAAGGTCATATCAGAATAATGTAGCATGTCAGTTTTGCCACTA